ATAAAGAAAAGGGGCTCCGGAGAATAACCCCGATGCCATCCTTGGAAAGGAGGGGGGGGGGGGGGGGCACGCTTCCCGAGTGACATCTGGAAACACATGCATGGGTCGCGGCAAGCAAGTCGACACACTCGTCCACCGAGCCAAGCCAAGCCGAGCCAAGCCAAGCCAAGCCAAGCCAAGCCATCGACCTCCTTGCAAACACACACAAACACCACGAAACAGCATCGTATGAGCGAGTCGCCGCTGACACCGCCGGCGACATGCCTTGGCGAGGGGACTGAACTACCCGATCCCCGCGTACAACAAAGAAAGCACGTCGCGTTCGGGAGGGCGACATAAAAAGACGTTCCTGACCCTGGATGATCTAACGCGTGAAGTGACGGCTGCCTGACAAATGCTACGTAAAAAAGTATGTCCATTTTTTTCCTTCCCTGAAAGGACAAGAGGGGGCTAACACTCCTTTCGGTCCATCCCTCTTAAAAACTAGTACAAGTTGCGATACGGTGAGTCCATCTGCTTCCGGCTCGTTCTCACATAAGCGGAGATCAAGCGGCACATCTAGCACGCACCCAACAGCAGTACCATCGCAAAGCAACCAACACAATACGAGGCCGTCGCGCCCGCCTGAACGGATTACACACACAGGTTACTTTTGCCATCAAGAGAACGTACACGTGATCTCCAAGTCGAAAAAGGACCACCGACAACAACGCCCCCCCCCCCCCCCCCAGCACTCTCTGGGCCAACTACTCCGTGGGGGTGCCCATGAAAAAAAACGCATCCCTTTCCTCTCTCTTACCTCGAAACCGCGACCGTAAAATACTAAGGGGGTCCACCAAAGACAACAATTAAGGATACGATATGATACGACTACGGCGAGCGGTTGGGTGAACTGGACTTCGTGGTGCAAAACCGACACAAGGGCACGCAACGCAGCGTCCATTTACTAGTGGCGTCACTGCTCGCGCACCTTGAAGAGACGGGCTACGGTTCGTATGCTACCAAAGAGTTGTGCCGTGCCGCCTTGGCCTGCCTCCCCAACATAAAACCCTTCAACAAAGGGCGCCGCGGCTGACCACAAGAGACAGACGATATGATCATGTCGGCCGGTTTAAGAACAACACGGGTTCCGACTTTTGCCCAGGGCTTCCCCCAAGCACAGCAGCAGTGGCCACCAGCGCGCTCCCGTCTGCCTCGCGCAATCCCCCTACCCCCTCTATGCAGAAACACGGAGCCCCCTGCAGGAAAACCAAAGCGGCGGCGCTCGGATTTTCCACGATAGCAGCTGTCTTCCTCCTCCTACCCCTCACTCACGTTGCAGTGGGGGGGGGGGGGGGGAGGGGGG